TGCTGAAGAAAAATTGTCATAAATTTATGGAGATCCAAACCATATTTTCCTTCTAATATTTACAGAAAGAGCTCTGAGTTTAACACACACCACAAATACCAGGCTGTGATTGTGATCAATGAAGTGCCACAGGAAACAAGAAAGTGAAGGCTATACAAAAATAAACCCGTTTACAGTTTTAACTGAAATGTACATGTTGTACATGTAGGCTACCATGGCATATGAAAATACATTACAGTAATCTTCTAAAATCATACAGTTAGCACATAAGTTTAAATAATGTAACAAAATGGCAAATGGTTTTTTGAGGCTATCATCTGTATTCTGAATCTGAAACAAACAGAATCTACTCAGTTCATGCACTGAAACAATACTTTCAGCATATTGCTTAAATATTATGACCCGCAAACTAGCTCAGCAGCTACCTCGTTGTCTGTTGTCACCCAAACAAATAACAGGTAAGCTGCATTATTATAGACCTCCTGTCCTCCTTGGGCTACAAGTGTCTCAACTACACGTGTGCAAATAGAAATCTGAAAACAAGACCCTGCAGAGAAACAACCATGTTATGATGAAAAGGAGCTTCTGAAAACTACTAAATAAAGCCATAACACTTCATTCATTCGGTCTTATAACTGATAAATCTATAAGATTACATTGTATTCTCTACAATTAAGCTGTATGAGGCATTAAGTAGCAGTTGCCTGGGAGGCAGGGCTTTCTATGAGGTATTTCTTACTTCTGACCAGTGCCAAACATAATCATACACGAAATGTAATGTGTAAGGCATAAACAAAATCTAATGCTGTTATTAAAACAAATGTCATTTTGCTAGAATCTGTGAAAAGAACCCACCTAAGAACAACGGGTGCATTAGACATCGTGGCAAAAAAGGACCTAGATAACCAATAATTTCACATTTTTCACAAAACAAAAGTGGTTCATGAACTTGGACTGTGACGATGAAACTGGTTCGGTGTTGTAAGTCCATAAAGCTTTAGTATGTTTCTAGTAATACTTGTCCTTGGTAGACATGAGGCATTTTGACCACATATTTGTCAGCTTGAAAATACATATGCAGAGTCATTCTATTTGATTAATATACTTTACAGCATTTGTGAAGGAGAAAAATTTCATAGACACAGAAGCAAAAAGGAATCACTTTCACCTCAAGATAGCAAAACTTTTATCAACTGCCTTAAAATGTTTCTCGCTGAATAGACTAATTAGAAGTTTTAAAAAACTGGGTTGTTTTTTTTTTAACAGTATAACAAATTGACATTAAACTGCTACAATTGACTTACATTTGAGGCACTGGCACTACAACGTAACTGATGCATCTCGAAGGATCAATATGGGTTACAGCATGCACTGCATGTGGAGCCGCAACTAAATATAAGCGTGCTGAATTGGCACAATGCTCAGTTCAGAAACATTATCTACAATGTTTTACGCATCAGGTATGCACCTTTTGAAGGTTTCCCCTGAGTGCTGCCAAGAACACACCATCCTTGGTTCACATCTTCTTACCTGTTGTAACAGAAAACACGTTGACCGATGGAGTTCTAAAAGGCTACATGAGTTTTAGAGAGTCTTTACACTGTTCTAATAAAATATGCACAGAAAATAAGAGGGATAAATTAATAAATAGATCAATTTTAGCTTACAATGTCACTCAGAGTGAATAGCATTAGCAGTGAGACTATTTACTTGGTAATATGATTTCAGTAAATCACTTTGCCACTGACCTTTGGACAAACCCAGAGGTATTTGACTTAATAACAGGCTTGCCCTATGTGAAATCCCAAAGGAAAGTGAGCAGTCTTTTATCACTGACGGCAAAGCAAAAAGATTCAAAGATAAATACAGTTTGTATATCTTGTCTCCTAATGAATTTACAAAGGCACTGAACACAATTACACATAGTAAGAGAGATTATTGTTAGAACAGTACGGTCTTGAAAATACATTTTGCTGCACCTTTCTGTTCACTTTGGTTGGTTGGTTTGTCATTGAGAAGCGAGCAGCGACTAATGTTTTCATCACCTGCCCTGTATTCTGGCATCCTGTGTATTCATGGAAAACATTCAGGCCTTATTAAAAGCTGACCGATAAACTCTCTCGAGACTTTTCAGTGCCGTCGCCGTCTGTTGTGGAGGTAAGACTGTAATGAAATGTGCATCTTTAAAGGAGCTTCTGTCAGGACCAAGGAGCACTTTCTGAAAAAATACTGCTTTACAATTATTGATAAAGGAATAAATAACAGGTGCATAAAAGTACCACCTGTCCTCTTCTCTGGTACACGCTGGAGTACTACTTTAAAGGAAAGACTCCATGTCCAGATCCATAAATGTGTTAGCATCCATGCTAAAAGAGGAGTCGTAGGTCTGGGTGTTCTGGTGCATCTTCTGATGGTGTCGCAGGTTAGACTTGCTGGAAAAGGTCTTGTTGCACAGCAGGCAGGTGAAGGGCTTCTCTTTGGTGTGGATCCTTCGGTGACATATGAGCTGCGTGGACACACGGAACGCTTTTCCACACTCCAGACACTGGTAGCGCTTGGGCTCTGTATGAATGCGCCGGTGGTTCTTGAGAGCCATCAGGTTGGTGAACTCTTTGTGGCAGACGGAGCAGAAGAAGGAACCTGTCTTGTGACTGTTTTTGTGGTTGAGGAGGGAGCCGGCATGGCGATAAGTGCGGCCGCAGTGCTCGCAGACGTGGCTCTTCTCCTCTGTGCACACGGCGTCGTTGCTCTTCTTTAAATTAGTGATGCTTCCTGGAATATGGGACACAGGTGGTGGAACCTGCTTGTGCATCTCGTCCATCCCCACAGTCTGATTTATTCCTGAGTCCCAGCAGGGGTGGTTATCTACAGGTTCATCTGGACTTTGTTGATAGGGGCCCTGAGCCCTGTGGTGCACATTGTGATGCTGCCGATAACTGGCTGCGTCAGGGAAGCTCTGCTGGCAGAGGCTGGGGGCCACAAGCCCGTCCTTTGAGTGCACCTCCATGTGGGTCTGCAGGGGTGCGACCAGCAAGCCTGTCCTTTGAGTGCACCTCCATGTGGTTCTGCAGGTGTGCGACCAGACAGAAGGTCTTGCCACACTCTGGGCAGCAGTGACGCCTCATCTGAGAGTGTATCTGTAAAGTGAGAGGATCAGGAAATGTCTGGAGACACAAGGTACAGTGGTGGAGGTTTTCAGAGTGCGTCTTTTTATGGTTGAGGAGGGAGCCAGCGTGGCGGTAGGAGCGTCCACACAGGTCACACCTGCAGCAGGGACATGTTCATATTCAATCCCTACCAACACAGTGCAACCCAGATCATTTAAACCAACAGTAAAGCATCTATGAAACTGAAGAATATAAGACAGTAACTCACGTGAAACACTTGTCTCCCATCTGCAGCTGCTGGCCTCCAGCTCTCTTTGAGTTCTCCTGAACTCTGCAGCAGCGGTGCCTCTTCAGACCAGACTTGCCCTGGAAGTCCTTCCCACATTCAGGACACCTGAGGTGACTTGACACCTGGTTGTGGACCCTCTGGTGGTTGTGCAAGATACTGGCGAGGCGGAAGGCCTTCCCGCATGTGAGGCACACGTGCTTCTTCTTCTGTGTATGGATACGTGTGTGGTTGCGTAGAGCCATGGGATTCGTGAAGGGCTTGGAGCAGAAGGTGCAAGTGAAGTGTCCTGTCTTGTGGGTGTTTTTGTGGTTCAGGAGTGAGCCTGCATGGCGGTAGCTGCGATTACATATGTTGCATGTGAAAGGCCGTTCCTCTTTATTTGGAGACATATTTGTTTGTGCATCACCGCTGCCTGAAGGTCCATTACATGTGTGGGCTGCCAGTTGGTCAACAGAGAAAAAGCCCTGCTTACACTGCTTACACTTAAAGGGCCTAGACTTTAGGCCCCTCCTGTTGGCGGCCCCATCCTTTCTGAGGTCTCCACAGACGTGAACTAATAGCTGTTTCTTTCCTCTAAAGCCTTTTCCACAGTTCTGGCAAGAATGTTTTTTATATGTAAAGTGAGTGCGCAAGTGGTTCTTCATTGCCAATTGATTGGAGTAAGTGTTGTTACAAACAGAACAGTAATATTCACCAATTTTATGGGAGTTTCTGTGGTTGACCAGACTTCCTGCATGGCGATATGTACGCCCACACTGGTCACAGGCAAAAGGCCGCTGATCATCTGTGTCCTCTGATTTGACTAAGGTCTCAGACTCTGTTTGTCCTGTCTTCCCTTCAGGCAGCTGCTTGCAACGTCGAGCAGAGGTTAAAGCCTGGCTGGCAACTGATGTTAAGGACTGCATTCCTCCACCTGGCCTGGTCCCATTCATCTGCATCAGGGCCTGGATCTGGTTGTTGAGTTCCTGGATTTTAGCTTGGTTCTCTTTGTGCCTTCTCAGGTGGTTCAATAGCTGCTTCTGAATTTTGAAGGCTTTCCCACACTCGTGACAAGTATGCCTGGGGGGAGGGATGAGACAAAGCATAATTAGTTATTTTTGTGAATCTAAAACAGGAAACAGTTTACAGAAGAAACAAAGTAGAGTCATGATGAAAAAACATATCGGTAACAGAAAACTGAGACTATAGGCAACAATTTGATTTTGTTTACGCAATAATTTTTCATTTCTAATAGGAAGTATGAGTGACAAATGTAAGAATTGGATATATTTTAATGATGTACTTTCTTGAACTAACCTCTTAATATCAAAGTGGGATCTCTGGTGGTTTTTGAGGGCCAGCAGGTTGTAGAAGCGTTTCTGGCAAACCAGGCATCTGAATACACCCGTTTTGTGAGATTTTTTGTGGTTAAGAAGGGAGCCTGCATGTCTGTATGACCGCCCACACTGGTCACACTTGTACTGACGAGCTTTGGTATCACCCGTTTCTTGGATTTGACTCATGTCTTCATGCTGGAGATCATCTTCTACTTTCATTCCCTCTTTACCATGTGCTGACTCATCCTTCCTCTCAACTGCACAGCCATGGTTCTCAAGATGATGGTAGCTGGAGCAGAAGATGCCACAGCTGCCACAGATGATACTCTGTGCTTCCTCCTTGCCCCCGGATACATCACCGTTGTTCATACGTATAGGATTAACATTATCTGCTTGGTCCTTATTGTGGAGAAGCTGATGGGTGATCAAGTCCTGCCTACTGGCAAAACTTTCCCCACATGTACTACAAATCATCATCTCTCCTAGCTCATCATCTTTCACTTCCTCATGGGAGGACATAGAAGAAGGCCCTGAGCTCACAGGAGTACCTTGAGACCGTGTGTGCCCTTGGAGATGGCTCCTGAGAGCTCTCATGCTGGTGTAGCTGTTTCCACATATAGAGCACTGATAAAGATCTCCATCATCATCCTCTTCACCTTCCCTGCCACTGTTCAGGTGATCACTGTTCACATTTTCATGGAAATTCTGTTCAAAGTAACTTTGGTCATGGCTATCTTTCAGACCATGGAACTCTACGTTGCTCTCTGGGTTTCCAATGGCACAATGACCGTTACTGACCTGAAAGTTTATATTACTGTCATAGTCACTGCTAGTAGTGTCATGTTGCTGCTGTAGCAGTGGGCAACTGTGGGACTTAATTCCTGCAATGTCTGCAAATGTCTCACCACAGTCTGCGCACATGTGCCTCTGCATTAGGTGTTCATTGTGAGGTAGATGCACAGTCATATCCTGGGAAAAGTCCTGATTAAACTGTTCATGGTACAACACTCCATTGCTATGGTCAACTACATTCTCCTGATCGATACTGAGCACAGGATGAGTGCTGTCCTCCTCGTCTTGGGAGGAGAAGCAGCCCTGCTGGTTATCCAGAGTCAGAGGCTCAGAGGAGAGCCAGTCTCCCTCTGTGTTGAGGCTAAAACATGACGGCTGAGCTTTGTGGAGACGAAGATGACTTTTGAGGGCAGCCAGATGAGGGTAACTCTTTCTGCAGATGTAACACTGGTAAATCCCAACCTGATGTGACCTTTTGTGGTTAATGAGGCTTCCAGAGTGCCGGTAGCTTTTACCACAGATCTGACACTTGAAGGGACGCTCGTCAGACTCTACAGTTGTAGTCTCTTCCATTTCAGTTGCATTATCAGTGGTCTGTGTGTGCGTCAGAGCAGGACTGAGAATACTCACGTCTATGACTGGGGGTTCTCCCTGAGTGCTATTGGATGATGTCATTTGATTACTGGAGCAGTCTGAGTACAGATGATCGTTACTTCTAAATTGCACCTCTGGCTGATCAAAACCCCCATGACTATCTATTGATGATACTGAAGGAACATTATTTACAGGAGATGCATAAAAGTTAGACTCAGGAGAAGCAACACTGTTGTCATATGATATATTATGGTTCTCTGACAAGGCATCTTGAAGCCCAAATGGCACAGATGAAGAGTTATGCATTTGGATGTGTTGCTGGAACTCTTCATCATTGGGGAGTAGTACCTGGCACAAATGGCAAAAATTTATAGGAGCATTCTGGCTCCGAGGTGAAAACTGCTCTAGTGGTGCACCTGTGTATGACCCTCCCATTAAACCAGGGTCTGTCCCACTTCTTGCCTTGTGAGTTCTCTGGTGGCTGTAGAGAGCAGCCATGTTATTGAACAGTTTAAAACAGACTGTGCACTCAAACATTCCCACTTGGTGAGTCTTTTTATGATTAGTCAGGCTTCGATGGTGTATGTATGATTTGTCACACAAATCACATCTGAATGGTCGATTTGCTGCATCATCTGAGGTCTCAGCTTGTACATTATAAACAACCTCTGCCGTGTTCTCAGCTGGGCTATTATCTGGAGAAATCCCAACACTGGCCGAATGCTCACTGAGATCACGTGGGTGATTATGTTCAATTTCACGTGTGAAATATTCCATGTCTACTTTCTTGTATGACTGCTCCTTTGCTCGCCTGGCAAGATGAACTCTTTCATGTGTAGCCAGCTGTGTTGCCAGACGAAAAGACTTCCCACATTCTACACAGGAATACTTTTTCAGTGATGTGTGGCTACGGAGATGACTCTTCAAGGCCAAAGCATTAGAGTTTTCTTTACCACATATGTTGCATTGAAAAGAACCCACATTGTGAGTCTTTTTGTGGTTAGCTAGGCTACCTGCATGCCTATAGCCACGTCCACATTCATCACATTTAAATTTGCGTTCGTCCTCTTGCTGAAGGTGAGCATCCATGTGCTCAAGCAGACTGGGCATATTGGGATACAGCATGCCACACTGTTTGCAAGGAAAACCTGTTGTCCTGCCAAGGTCTTGCTCTGCCATTAGAAGATAATGATTAAGTGCACCAGACAAGGGTGTATGAATATGCAGGGGGAAATTAGATGCCGTTCTTCTTTGTATACAGTAGGGTCAGAGGAGTGTCCAAAGAGGTAACACGGCAGTGGATGTTGAGAAGCAGTTCCCCACAGTCAGGATAATGACTTGAGTTTAGCAGATGCAGGCAAACTGGGCTGTCAAGGGCAGAAGAGATGTTCATTAGAGCTGTGGTAAATACATTAACAATGTATGTAACAGCATTCAGTAAGTCGCATATACCACACAAGTAGCTACAGAGAACCTATCACATTTTCCCCAAAGACAGTAGCCTTTTCTTCCAACTATCTGCAATACAAACTGACAAGGTGTGGATTCTACAATACAAGCTTGCACCAATCACCCAAGTCAGTTCTGTAGCAACTCAGAACATTTCACAATTCTAAACCTAAGTGCTGATCACTTATTTAAGTCAGTCAAAGTTAATAAATCCAGCCATGGTATGGTACTATTGTTAGGTATTTTTAGTCAGATAGATATTGGATAGATACTTTATGTATTAGAAATGTTTAGTGGAGATAGGATGTCTAGTTAGACTGTTAAATGCTTAGTCATGCTTATGAGTTTCTACAGGGTACATCTGGTCAAGGATAACTAGAGAGAAGAGTTGATGACTGTCAGCAGACAGGGTGTTTAATATTATTATTATGACGTGTAGAACTGTAGCCTTAGCCATAATATGTTCTTATGTTTAAGACACGACATGTTACTAGAGGTCGTGTGAGAATGTTTTTAGCTACACACCACTTAATCAACAGACACACACACACATTTTTGCTTCATGTTTTGACTACTGCTATGACCAGCTGCAAAGCTGGTAACAGAGACGTCTCGGTTGACGTTTCTGTGTAGTATGGGGCTAGCCCAACCGAGGGGATATAATGTATAGGCCTGGTGGGTTCAGGGTCTTTCATCTTTCATCTGCCTGCGAGCAATTTGGAGGTGCAAGATACCTGAGCGTGCAATGTTAATTTTACCTGTGATCCTTTGAATAAATCAGCACTGTTTTGAAGTTACCTGGACTGTCTCGTCTCTCAGAGTTAGCAATGGTAAGAAGAACCAAATAGTCCTGCACTATAAATGCGTCTCTGACTGCAGTTATCCAGCATCAAGACATGCTTATTAAGTTGAATGCAGATAGTTAGAAACGTAACCAGCCTTACATATTTCACTAACTTACATCTCTGCACCATCAGGCTAACAGAACTAGCTATGTCAATAAACCAAGAGACAAACGCCTCCCTGTAAAGACATATTGACACAGCAAATTAAACATATTCTCCGACATTATAATCAAAAACTGAATGCACACAGTCATCCCCATCAGGTTACAGAGAAGAGCAGACAAGCTGATCATCCTTATCACCAGCGCTAACGTTAGTCCGCTACCAGCTAGCATCATCATGGCTAGCTAAACAAACATTGCACCAAAAAGCCAAGAAGTCGTCTTAAATGCGGAATCACTGTGTCAGCAAATGCGTCAAAAATTAAATACTTACAGCAATACTGATTCAGCACAAGTCTCCGAAGATTTATTTCCATGCATTATTTTTAAAGAGGTTAATTTTATGTAAAGGACAACCCCCTTTTTTCTAATTGTCTTTTTCCCCATCCCCATCTCCACATTGGTCTTGTTGCTAGGAAACAGGAAATGTGCAGCAGAGAAAAACGTCCCTCTCCCGGACAGTTTGGTAAGATAAAAGTTCAGTTAAAACAAAAGGCGTTAAAGTAATGACAAGCACGCATTAGGCGCACAAAAAAACAATAACTCAAATGTTCATCTCAAGCTTCTCCTGCCATTTTTTCGTAAAACACATTAGCTGCTTCAGGCAGCCGTGTTAACTTGCGTAGCTAGTGTTCACAAGCACTAGCTAAATTATATTCGCTTCAGCTTGGCACTCATGTTTATGCTGATGTTTTCATTATAGCTAAACGTGCTAGGTTTATTAGCATTACAGTGTTTTACCAAGGGGTTCTGTTGCATTTATGTGTCCTATGCCCTGTCGTGTTTTATTTTTATTTTTAAAATTATCGCATTAAAATGTTACACACTTGGCTTGCCGAGAGCTTTCGTCATCATGGTCCTAGAGCCGTCCCCCACCCTGCAGCCAGTCAACAGCTATCATCGTCTCACAGTAACTGCAGTCGTGTACACAGACGTTTTTCCAGGTGTTATCGACCAGCTATTAATGCCCTAATCCAGGTAAGAAAGACTGCTGTTTCTCTAATGCACATAAATGTGCTAAGTTTAGCTAAATCCATCCCGTATAATGATGGTGACACTGTCGAGAGAATTTGTGCAGCTGGTCCTAAAGCCAGCCATTTTGAGTTAGAAAAATGTTTAGCAAGCAACCTAGCCTAGCGAAAATGAATACTTACATATCACGTCTGGCTGTCAACGCCATCACACTGATTGAAGATATGTGATCTTTATCTCCAGTGGGGAATAGGTCAGTCATTCATACACAGTGATCTCTGCCATTGCATCGCCAACTTCCTCTAGCATCAAAGCGGTTAGCTTATTGTCCCTGAGGTCCTAATGCCAGCCATTTTGTTATTTAATGCACATCCACATATTATGTTATTATACAGTTTTATACATTTTTTTTTCTGATCCATCACTAGTCACTTTCACTGATAATCTGCTCTCCTAATTTGTATCTGTCAACGGACTTTAGCCTGATGTCTGTAGGATGATCTTCTAGTCTTATCCCTTATTCTGCTGATGAGCTATTTATCTAGATAATTATTATAAAAGGCCTTTTATATCATCCCTCTGCAGATGAAAGATGGCCTCTCCTCAGCCTGGCAGCCCACCTCTTGCAGAGCAATATACCCCTCCTGTGCAAGATGAAGGGAGCCGACAAGAGAAAGAGGTGGTGAGGAAACAGCCTGCAAAAAAACGTGGTAGAGGCAGGCCTCCAAAAGCCAAGCCCTCCTTCAAATGCTGTATATGCACAGAGGCTTTCAGGAGTCTGTCAGCTCTGCGGAGTCACAAGCTTTCAGCACATGCAAAGGATCGTCAACAGCAGCACTCATGCACTCAGTGTACTAAAACGTTCTCAAACAAGGCTCAGCTCTCAAAGCATGAGCGCACTCACTCAGCCCAGCGCCCCTTTCAGTGTCCTGACTGTCACAAGGCTTACAAGACACCTACGGAGCTACGCAACCATAGCCGCTCTCATACTGGGGAGAAACCGTTTGTATGCACAGAATGTGGTAAGGCCTTCATGCAGGCTATATGCCTGAGGATCCATATGTCACAGCACAGTGGAGAGCGTCCTTACTCTTGCCGTCAGTGCTCTAAGAGCTACCCCACCCTGTCTAAACTGAAGGTGCACATGCGCTCTCACACAGGAGAGAAGCCATACTTCTGTGGTGAGTGTGGTAAGAGTTTTGCTGACCCCTCTGTGTTCCGAAAACACAGAAGGAACCACCAGGGTCATCGGCCATATGCTTGTGATGAGTGTGGGAAAACGTACACAGAGCTAAAGGACCTGAAAAACCATGAGCGCTCCCACACGGGAGAGAAGCCGTACCTGTGCTCAGATTGTGGCAAAGCCTTCTCACGCTCCTCCTCTCTGGCCTGCCATCAGCGCATTCACTCCCAGAATAAACCTTATCAGTGTGAGCAGTGTGGCAAAGGCTTCACTCAGTTGTCCTCCTACCAGTCTCATCTCCGCACTCACTCTGGTGAGAAGCCGTTCCTCTGCCCACAGTGTGGCAAGATGTTTTCTGACCCATCCAGTTTTCGTCGCCACCAGCGAGCCCACTTGGGTTTCAAGCCGTACCCCTGCGATAAGTGCTCCAAGAGGTTCAGGCAGCCAGCAGATCTGGCCGTACATGAACGTGTTCACTCTGGAGAGCGGCCTTACAAATGCCAGAGCTGTGACAAGGCCTTTGTTGCATCCTGGGATCTGCGGCGTCACATGCTTGTCCACACAGGTCTCAGGCCATTTTCATGCACTGAGTGTGACAAGTCATTCGCTGAGCGCTCCAGCCTCAACAAGCACCGACGCGTGCACTCTGGCGAGAGGCCCTTCAAATGTGAGGAGTGTTTGAAGTCATTTGTTGTATCCTCAAGTCTGCGCAAGCATGAGAGAACTCACCTAACTGAGCAGTCTGAGCAGCAGCAGCAGCAGCAACAGCAACAACTACAACAACAGGAGACGGAAGCCGGGTCAGCCTCAGGCTTTACTGCCCACACAACTCTCCCTCAGTTCTCCTGTACGCACTGTGAAGCAACATTTGGAAGCTGGGATGAAGTTCAGGTACATGAAAATCTTCACTCCATGGACTCCGCTCCTGTAGCTGTCACCAAAATTGTGTCACTGGGCTCGCATGTCTGCAAAACCTGCCAGGCAGAGTTTTCACAGCTGGCGGACTTACAAGAGCATGAAAAGCAGCATCCCAAGCTGAGGCCTCACGTCTGCAACAGCTGCGGGAAAGGCTTCCTCAATAAATGTGGACTACGTAAACACCAGAAGATCCACTCTGCCAGCAAACCTCACAGCTGCCCGCACTGTGGAAAAGCCTTTTTATTTGCAGCCTACCTTCGCAAACACTTACGGACACATGCAGACCCTGCCCCGACTGCCCAACAACTCGGTGACATGAATATCATTCACACAGACCCACTCCCCTCTCCCCCAGCCCCCAGTGAGGTTTCCCCCTCCACCATTGAACCCAGTGCTATATCACTGGCAGTTCCCGTGACTGTACCTGTCACTGCTTTTCGGACTCTGCCAGAGTACTTAGTCAAAGAAGAGGGACTTTAAGGTTGTTGTTGTTTTTTAAAGCTGTTTTGGAATTTTTA